GCAAATTGCTCAAATCTCCACATCCAATATCAGGGAAGTTGGCAAGTCTTTGAGTCCAAGTTGCAAGTCTGAGTCTTTTGGCACCAAGTCCCGAGACCCAAGTCTGAGTCTCTATTAAAAACAAGCTTTTTCCCCCCAGAAAAAAGGGAAGGGATAGGTGGGTTCCAAGGCATGAATTGGGTCTGAATCATAAAAAAAAACAAACTGAGCCAAGTCCCAGTTGAATCACCAGTGAGACTTAAGTCCACCTTGACTGTGAGTCCCATGACTCACGTCCCCACCCCTTTCCGATACTGTAGTCATACTACTGCTTAGGTCTTTTACAGTAAAACCCCCCAAAAACTATCTGAAGAGGCATTATGTCCATGTTCTGCTGTTGGAAGCTTCAACAGTATAAAACTCCCAGTGGTAAGGTTCTCCCCACCTCCATCCCACAGCGGAACATTTCCTTTTGCAAAGCAATTAAAAGAGCACAGAAAGTCAGAGGTAGTTCTTTTTCCTTCCCATTAACCTTTTCTGAGGCATTCATGCAGTTCTCCTGTGAAATGATGCCTGAGCAATCATGCCTTCAGAGTTTTGACAGAAGAGTATGATTTGTGCCTTATTTCTAGAATTTGGAAATGGCTGTGCTGGCATTGGGATTTAGAACACTATAGCCCCAAAAAGTAAATTTTCCTAGCCTCTGCCTAGATGATACTGGCAAATTATGCACTATTCATGTTTCATAATAGTAGAGAGGTAGATGTTTTCCATCAGGCCTGCAGCAGGCATCAGTGGCCACTGATAGTGGAGTTTATAATGGAATTGCCTCAAGAACAAGGAATAAGGAGCTAATTGGAATGTGGGTTGGACTTTTTTGACTGAAAATCTTGCACTCCGATGAACTTTTTCTTTTAATATGAAAGAGTTTTCCCTAAGTTTTCCAGAACTTAGTGTTTAGGCAGAAACTTCTCCATTTCTAAAAATTTGTTTCACCAAATTCGGTAGTAACAACAAGGGCATGCCAAATTGCTTTAATCTAAAAGAGAGAGAGAGAGAGAGAGAACTAAGTACTATCTTGTGAGTGATTATACTGACAGTGATAGTAAAACTGGAAGTGTCTCAATAAATTAGTGTGAGAGTATTATGCTCTCTTTCATTTAGCTTGGTAGAAAGCCACAGCATAACATACTCTGTTCACTGAGTGTGCTAAAATTAGTATATTGTATCAACAATTCTCTTTAAATTTAAATAGATAACAGAAGGAAACTACAGCCAAAATCCCACTGTAGGGATGTTATTTCGGCTAGTTGTCTCGGTACATATGAGCGAAGCATGTGCTCAGGCACACAATTGGCACACATCTAACATCTTGTAAATTAGCTACAGCAACTTGGCATTCCCTCCATGAACATCACTAGAAGGATTTTGGCCAACATTTTATTAAAATGTAGCAATACGTGCGATAGTGAAAGTAATTTAGCACATGGCTTTAAGTTTGATTGAAAACAACATTTAAATCACTTTTTCTCTGCTTAATATTTCTCCTAATGAATTATTTTCCTTCGCATATTTATTGTCTGTTTCAACACTGGAAATGTTTATTTAGTACTTATAAGGCAAATATTTGTGTTAAATCAGATTGTGTTTTGTTTAGGTCACATGGTGAGCAAAGAACAGACAGAAAGCTGTAACCTGTTTCCCCATATGTGTTTTTTTTATTTGAAAAGGGCCTTCTTGCTTTCTAAGGAGGAGTAGAAGGGCAATTCTGTCACATTTGGGAGAGAATACTTGACCAAGTTCAAGTCTAGGACCTTTTTTCAAAACTGACTTCTGATTTTGAAACAAAAGTCTTCACCAGTCTAAGACGTGTATATCAGTATGACAGAAGTGTCCTTCTCCTCTGTATTTTGAGGAATCTTAAAGTCAACAAAGTGCTTATGCCAGCTCTCTGGGGTATGGGGGTCATGTGTAGCCTCTGGACCTCTGAATCATGTAACCTTAGCTGTACAACCCCATCGAACATTTTTCTGGAGGACTCTTGCCATGGCTAATTAGAGACACATATTGCATAATGCCATAAGATATACTTTAGCAATATTACTGTTTTTACCTATAGTGTGAAGATAAAGAATATAAATACATTATTTTTTAAAAAAAATAAATTTTAATCCATGAATGAGAGGTCAATATATAACACTAGAAATAATTAGATTTCATACATTAATGATTGCTGTTGCTAAGGCATAAGAATTGCCTTGTTGGATTATTTGTTTTGTCTGATCAATGTGTGCTATTCTTCAGAATCCAAAAGCAAAGTCCAGTCTTACATTATGTCTTAGCTGAGTATGGCTAACTTTGCGGTTTGTATGACAATACATTTCCATATAGTGTTCTATAAGTAGTAAAACAAAAGGATTTCCCTCACCCCTGGAGTGTGAAAAAGGTGCTATTAAGCTTTTTTGAAGTAGGAAGAATCTGCTACCATGGTTACAGTTATTCACATTATAAGTTGTATGGGGGGGATCTTTCAGCAAGATTTCTCATGCATGCTATGATCTTGGCTGCTGTGGGTATATTTCTGTCAGGCTCAACAACAGACATCTACAGATGTCCATCAACAAAACAACCATCATATACAGTAAAGTACCACAATTCTCTTTTATGTCAGTTACCTGCTGGAACAAGTAATTTCCCAAACGAATTCTTCTCCATTCATACTATTTTTTTAAATACTGTTGGCTTTTTTGCCACATCAATATGAATCATATACTGTATTGTTTTCTATTGGTTTCTTATGTCATCTACAGATGTCCATCAACAAAACAACCATCATATACAGTAAAGTACCACAATTCTCTTTTATGTCAGTTACCTGCTGGAACAAGTAATTTCCCAAACGAATTCTTCTCCATTCATACTATTTTTTTAAATACTGTTGGCTTTTTTGCCACATCAATATGAATCATATACTGTATTGTTTTCTATTGGTTTCTTATGTCATTGCTATGATAGTATGAATCATATATTGTTTTCTATTGGTTTCTTATGTCATTGCTATGATATACAGTGGTGCCTCACTAGACAATGATAATCTGTTCCACTGAAATCGCTGTTTAGCGAAATCATTGTCTAGCGAAAAGCGTTTCCCCATTGGAATGCATTGAAACCTGTTTAATACGTTCCAATGGGGAAGAATCGTTGTTGTCTAGTGAAGATCGGCCATAGGAAAGCCGCTTTGCGAACCGCTGATTAGCTGTTTAAATAGCTGTCTTGCGAAGCTTAGGGCCCGAAAAACACGCGTTTTGCGAGTGCGGAGGGAGCTGTCAAAATCATTGTCCAGCGAAAATCAGTTTGCGAACCAGGGACCAAACATTGTCCAGCGAAATTCCCCCATAGGAATAACTGTTTTGCGAATTGCTATAGCGATCGCAAAAAGTCAATGTCTAGCAAAAAAAAGTCATGCGGGGTAACTGTCTAGCGAGGCACCACTATACACTAATTCAGAGGATGGATAAAATGACACTTGTACAAACTATATGGATAAATTATTCAGAGGATGGATAAAATGAATTCACAGAGTGTTGACACTTGTACAAACTATATGGATAAATTGCTGGGCAGCCACTCAAAACAGATTATCTAACCAATACTTCTTCTAGGAAATAGAATAGCCAGAGCCATCTAGACACCCAAAGAAGACTAGGGGCCGACTGGTCATTGAAGTGCCCAGACTGTTTCTCTTCCCAGTTACAACATGTTGATTTCATATTAAGGAGGAAGGGGGAGTGCCAACACAGCTATTTAACCTCCTGCCCAGCATACACACACACACACACACATTATTAGCCACTATTGGTATGGCCCATTTCATGTTTGCATCTCAAGGCAACAGCTCTTGCCAAAGGGCCAGGGATATCCCATGCCCTATGCTTGGGAGAATTACTGCTGGGTCTTTAGCTCCCAGAAGGTCCCACTCAGCATAGCCACGCTGGCTGGAGTTCCTGAGAATTATAGTCCAAAAGTAATCTATGTTGAGAATGAATAGCTCCCTTACTGTTAGCTGGTTGGGTGGAAAAAGCTTTTTATAGCATAACGCACATGTAACAGTACTTCAAAAAGGGTAGGTGAGAGTCATATACTCATTAGGTGGTCCTAAGCAAACCTTCAGGTTTCCTGTCGTTTCTGAATTGATGCATTGGATCCAGACTTTATCATGTTTTTAAAAAGTAGACCTATTGTCTATTTTAGAATAAACACATTGAAATCAATGGAACTCGAGTTACTCATGAGTTACTTATGTCCTATTGGTTAAAATGTGTTTATTCTGCATATGAAAATTATCAGTCCAATGAAGAGCAAAGTGATATGAAATACACAAAACCATTGTATAATACATGTAATTATAATAGCACCTGTCAGAATAGGTTCTCTGAAGTTTGCTCACAAATGAAAGATAAAATGTATGTAATTTTATTTAAAAACACAATAGTCAAAGCATAACTGGTACTAAACATCAGGATGAAGTAGTACATTCTCTAGAGCAGTGGTCCCCAACCTTGGGCCTCCAGATGTTCTTGGACTTCAACTCCCAGAAATCCTGGCCAACAAAGGTGATGGTGAAGACTTCTGGGAGTTGTAGTCCAAGAACATCTGGAGGCCCAAGGTTGGGGACCACTGCTCTAAAGCACATATAGAGGCTTGAGGTTGAATAATCTAGCTTTACAGATATCAGTTGGGAGAGTATTCCATATAGTAGAGCCAACACTGTGTAGGTTCTGTACCTAATATTGCCTAGTGCCCAATGCTTGTTGTACAGTATTTGCATTTTCAGTAAATCTGCTTTCTTGTGTTTCAAAAATCATTCATTACTCTTCATCAATGTTTAGATGGTAGCCGTGACTATCAATTATACTGCTAATTGTCATCAGACTGTGTTGCGGAAGATGTGAATTCTTGACTTGTTACAGAATGAGTTTAATTGTCCTGTTCTGTTTTTTCCTCCCCCTTCTGGCTCTTAGATGTTCCTTTTGAGTGTCAAGAATGAAATTAAAATACATTTTGGGGTGCGGTGATTCTTGCCTTTCTCGTCGATGTCTTCCTGTCTCTTTGACGGTTTTATAATTAAACTGATTCAGAAGAAACTCTCTTCAAGACCATGACTGAAGAAAAGAATCTTGGCGCGTCTCAGAAAGTTTTGTCTCCTTCAAGAAGTACCAGCAGTTGCTCTTCTAAACAGGGAAGCAGACAGGTAAATGTAATGGTTTGTTTTGTTTTCTCTTTGTTAGAAAGCATTCTGATTTGTGAAGAATCGGAGCCCAAGATATATTGCTAGATACTTTGCTTTGTGTCTTTTTTCTTCTTTGTTCTGGGTTTTCAAGATAAATCCGTTTGACCAAATTAGTGCAGAGATTATTGGAATAACAGTACATATGGATGGTAATGGCAGTGGTTCCACTCATTGCAGTTTCATTGGACGGTTAGATCTGCATTTTTATTGACTTTTTCATTCTCAAGATTATATGTTATTTGGTAAAGATATTGCAAGATATTTTTGTTTTAAGGACCAAAATTTCACCAAAATCTTGCATTTTATAGCAGCGTCTGAAATGTACTGTTTTTTTAAAAGACTATTGTACAACCTGATCTTCTGTGGATATATACTTCAGCGTACTTATGATAAGCCTCAGAAGTGACAAAGACTTGTCTACCTTCAAAGATCTTTGTAGGTTAACTATTTGGAAATATAACAATGCCTCATTTCTAGGTATTTTTAGTATCAGTGCCTCTTTCTCCCTGAGTAATCCATTTCTTTGACAAGTGTGCTATAAGTGTACACTTGATATAGTGGAAGCCCTAGAGAATATCAGATGCATAAAACAGACAAGAAGACCTTTTCTACAAGAAATCAACTCCAGGGTTGAGGTAGAATTTGTTTCAGTTTTTTGGCAGTAATTTACCAACGTTCACACATTTCTTCAGGGCTTTGGGTGCTTTGTGTGAAAGTGTGGGTTCAAACATATATTTATTCAACTACATTAGCTCTGCATAATGAATGTTGTTTGTGACAAACCCAGACCTACTGGGAGATAATGAATGTTGTTCACTTCCTTTTTTCCTCCCCTGAGAGGTCTTTCATTTTTAAGATCTCTGTGTTGGCCAAGTGCATTTCATACTGCTTATGGAAATTGCTGTATCTGTTAAATTTGGTTGGTGAATTTGAGGTTGCAGAAAAATGATCATGAAGGAAAGGGAAATTGAGATATTTCCGTGTCCTTAGTGTGCTTGTTTCAAAGTTGAAGGAATCTCCTGCCTCTCTTTCTGTAAACTGAATGTCAGAATTCTTGTGAACATAAAAGGTTGCCCAAGCCTTTAAAGGGACCATGCAGCAAATGGATGGACGGTTTATTCCACAGCATGCCTTTATTGTCATTTGTTCTAAAGAATGGTAGGCAGAATGCAACCTTCTGGATATTGTTGGACTGGAATGCCTGCCATTCTGTCCTTCGTCATTGGCTACACTGGGTACAATGGATAGCCCAACGATTAAATGAAGAACTGCAGTTTCCCCAGTCCTATTCCAGAAAAAGAGAGAGAGAGAGAGAGAGACTCCTTTTGGAATATGAATGTGGAGTTCCGTATTAGAATGGAAGCTAAGATTCTCACCAATGTATTACTACAACTATATAGTAATACAGTGAGATTTAAAGTAAACAAAAAACCTATTTAAAACTATTTATTGAATAAATATAATTTAAAATGAGTTCTGTACCGGAAATCTCACAACATTTTTCACTCCTAATTTAGGATCAGTTGAAGATGATAAGTAACAGCGCTGCCTTTTGTTTTCCTCTGTAGTGCTGATAGTGCTTCTCTCCCTCCCCCAATGTACTCATCTCTTTCCCGTACATATCAATTTAATTCTTAGTTCAATTTTCTGCTTTCCTGTTATCTGGCAGACTTGTCAAGAACGCTACCCAGTTTTTCACACTGTTTGTGCCGTTGATCAGATTAGGGGAAATCTGATTAGGGGAATGAAGAGGTTTAAACAGCTTCAGGGGACAAAAGGAAGCAGGGGGGCATTTTGTATATGTTCAGAATATTGGTTTCTAGTATACAGGCTGGAATGTAGCTTTGCTGTCTACGTGGCTGGCACCAAAATATCATTGCGCGGTGCCAGATGTCTCATTGGTTAGATCTGCTACTAGTTCTCCTTGCACACAGTTTGTATGAAGGAGACATCACATGATTACAGCACAGTGAAGCTGTGCTCCTCCTTGTTATGCTTCTACCTCCGTTCATGGTATCAAGCATGCCTGCTGCTTGTTTTTTCTTTAGGCATTACATAAGAAAATAAGAACATAAGAAGAGCCCTGCTGGATCAGGCTAAGGGCCCATCTAGTCCAGCTTCCTGTATCTCACAGTGGCCCCACCAGATGCCTCTGAGATCACATGAAACAACTAGATATCTGTCTCTTGATACCCCCCTCCCGTATCTGGCATTTTGAAGTACCTTGCTCTTAAGCCTGAAGATTATACATCCCAATCATAACTTGTAACGTGTCATGGACTTTTCCTCCAGAAGTCTGTCCAATCCCCCTTTAAAGGCATCTAGGCCAGATGCCATCACCACATCCTGTGGCAAGGAGTTCCGCAGACTAACACATGCTGGGTCAAGAAATATTTTCTTTTGTCTGTTCTCACTCTCCCAACACTCAATTTGAGTGCATGTCCCCTGGTTCTGGTACTGCATCAGAGGGAAAAGAGCTTCCCTCTATCCACTTTATCTATCCCCTGCATAATTGCATACATCTCAATCATGTCCTCCTTCAACATTCACACATTTAACATCATAATCTTCAAGGAACCTATTTACATGTAACCAGGTTCTTCTACATAGGCTTCCATGTGACTGTCATACATTTCTTTAAAGCAGGACTCTGGTCCTAGATTTTCAACATTACTGAAAGTTGAAACAACGGAAAGATCATCCTTGATTAGAGAGAGAGAATCTATATACCAGCCAATTAGTGAATTCACACTGCTCTTCTCTAATAAATTCACATTGTTTTGAGGTTTGGAGAAAGGTGCTGTTGTTTTACTTGTGCATTGCCATTTATTTCTGATCAAAGCCTCATAAATGGAAGCCTCTGGAGAAATATCTTCCTTTGTTTCAACATGAATGCTGCAGAAGCAGAGTTTTAATTATTATCATTCATAGCTTTTGTGTTGCTTCAGATAGAGTGGGCATGTTGCCCTGTAACATAGTGGCAGAGTCCTATTGAGATTTTACTTCAGAGTAAATGAAATCATGTAAGTTGTGATGGTGAACTGCATCTAATCAATACAAGATTCTGGTCACATTCCTGGTGTACCCAGGTATGTGCTGTGTATACACACACAACCACCACCTCAATAGTAGAGAGGGGGGTATTCGTATACAAATACTAATATCCCCACACAGGTGGAAATAATGATGGTCTTGCCCCATGGGGTACCTAGACAGCATCTTAAAAAGCAGAGACATCACCTTGCCAACAAAGGTCCACATAAGTCAAAGGTATGGTTTTTCCAGTAGCGATGCATGGAAGTGAGAGCAGGACCATAAAGAAAGCTGACCGCTGAAGAATTGATGCTTTTGAATTGTGGTGCTGGAGGAGACTCCTGAGAGTCCCCTGGACTGCAAGGAGAACAAACCTATCCGTTCTGAAGGAAATTAAGCCTGAGTGCTCACTGGATGGACAGATCCTGAAGCTGAGGCTCCAGTACTTTGGCCATCTCATGAGAAGAGAAGACTCCCTGGAAAAGCCCCTGATGTTGGGAAAGTGTGAAGGCAAGAGGAGAAGGGGACGACAGAGGATGAGATGGTTGGACAATGTCATCGAAGCTACCAACATGAATTTGACCCAACTCCGGGAGGCAGTGGAGGACAGGAGGACCTGGCGTGCTCTGGTCCATGGGGTCATGAAGAGTCGGACAAGACTTAACGACTAAACAACAACAGCCCCATGGGGCTGGACTGTCCACTTACGATTTTGCCACTGACACAAGCTCGACACAAGCTTCCAGCATTGAAAAATACAGCCTGCAAAAGGTTAACGAATTCTACCCAGCCACAAGGACCAGGGATCATTGCACAAAAAAGACCAGCTAAAAACATCCATCAATCACACTGACAGATGATCTCTCCCTCTTATCACAACAATACATCCACAACAAAAACATGCTGATCACCATCATCTCCTGAAAAGGACAAAAGCTGTTCCCACAGCTATAAATACTCAACTATCCAACAAACAGCAACAGAGCATGGACAGAGTTCCTACTCCAGTCCTCTGAAGATGCCGGCCACAGAGACTGATGAAACGTCAGGAAGAACAACCTTCAGAACACGGCCAAAGAGCCCGGAAAACCCACAACAACCAAAAGCAGAAGTACTGAATAAGAGCAATAAAGAAGAGTTGGAGCACCATGTTGCAGAGCCAGGGGCCAGATGTTTGAATCCCCAGTATGCCTCTTGGAGAAGGGCCAGTTGACATTACCAGGATTATGTGGGGCTGATGGAGTTATGTACCCTGGGGCCTGTGCAGTCTCAAATGAGCTGCATCTTTCCTGTGCACCACCAGAAGGATGGATTGGTAAACTGCTTGTGAGTATTTTATACCTAGAAATCTCTGGGAAGAGTACCCATATTAAAGCACATAAGCATTACATACAGAAGTGCCAACTGCCAGATGTCAGAACTTTGGAATGTTAAAAAAACATCTTACATGCAGTTATCATTTCAAGACCCCCTCACGGAATAGCTCCTGTTACAGTGTTTATAAAGAAGTACTTTGCCTTCCCTTTTCTCACCATCAGAATTCTACAACCCACTGGCCTGTGAAATACAAACTGCACCGAATCTCCCACCCACCTCATTGCCACTACAGCAGTCACAACAGAGCAGAAAGCAGCAGCAGAAGGCACAGTATAAGCCAGTGCTCAAACCACACAGTGTTACACTTCTACCACTTTGTTGCAGGTTTTTTTTGTATCTATAATTATATCCTCAGTAGTTATATCCTCATAGCCATAAAGGTGGCTAAAATTACAGCTACAATGTAAAAATATTGCCATCATAATGTGGCTTAGTTATGCCTTACTTGTTGCCAAAAATCCATTAATTATATGTAACTACTTGTTTTTATTAGTTATTTCCAGCTCTGTCAGAGCTGCTTGAAGGAAGCAGGCTTTACTCAAAGGAGAATG